TTTAACACCAGACTGACACCTAAAGGACAACAGCAAGTGCATCATTATAGAAGCGAGTGGGAGGAGACGACTGAAAACACACCTGCCTCACCACATAAAACCACAGGACGCAACAACAGCTACAATACAAAGACATTTGGCTCTGGAGCTGTATCCTGTCCCCCTGACTTCAGACAGACATGACTGACAGACGGATTAACCAATCACAGACCGGTACACAGCAAAAAGTGGAGTGTTAAAATTGACTCTCACAGACTCAACTTTAACATTTTCTCAGAGTTTATATGAGTCCAGTCTGTTCTAGAGTTAATTTAACATTTTTGGAAATGTTCATTAAGTAACACTGGACCAAAGTTCGTGTTTAACCCTGAAATCCAGAGTTATATTAATGTTTTGAGAGTAAACAGATAACACTTTGTAGAGTTATGCTGATCTAGCTAAACAACACACAGAGGTGTTTTATTTTATTTTTTACTTTATTTTAGTTAATTTAAGATGAAATTATGTACAAAACTGGTTCAAACTGGTCTTCTCTCACAAGAGTTTGAAGTGGTGAATGGGAGGAGCCAAATTAACACTAAGAGAAGTTGAATTAACACTAAGAGAAGTTGAATTAACACTAAGGAAGTTGAATTAACACTAAGAGAAGTTGAATTAACACTAAGAGAAGTTGAATTAACACTAGAGAAGTTGAATTAACACTAGAGGAAGTTGAATTAACACTAAGAGAAGTTGAATTAACACTAAGAGAAGTTGAATTAACACTAAAGGAAGTTGAATTAACACTAAGGGAAGTTGAATTAACACTAGGACAAGTTGAATTAACCTCAACTACATCAACTCTGACAAATAACCCCAACTCAAACCCCCATTTAACTTTCAAATTGTTAAAATAACACTTTTGGTGTTAAAAACAACTCTGAAATATTTTACCCTAAAATTTGAACCCTCCAGTTTTTGCTGTGTATGCTCTGTTTGTGTCAAAACAAACTTACAAGTAGAAAAGAAAGGAAGGAAATGAACTTGCAGGAATGAAGCACTTAACTCTGAAGTCAAATCAATTCTATATTTGTTTGTGCATCTTATGATAGATAATAATAAAAGAGGAGATGTGTTTTGTGCTACAGGAGCCGCTGTGATTGGTCGTTGCTGCGCTCTGTGGTCTGGTGCATTTCAACAGAAAAAAGGAAGTGGTTTGCCAGGTTACACGTGGGCTTTACACATCAAGACAATATTGCAGCATGAAAAAAAAGCAATATTCAGTAACTTTCTTTGCTTTGTGGTAATGATATTATTGCAATATCTTAATGTACTTTTTGACAAAATTATGTTAAATAAAGAAACTACATTAAGACTGAATAAAGAAAATTATGAATTAAATTTGTTATAGTTTTTTTTGAGTTGTTGTTCTTTTTTCTTCAGTAGCGGGACATTTCAGTCAAATGGAGAAGCTATAGTTGCAAAATATTTACGTTCTTGCAATATCCAATAACTGCACAAGCCAAAATTCTGCCCTAAAAAGACGAAAGAGCTTAACTCCCCAGAGTGAAACTGAGACAAATGACTTGACAAAGATTCTGTTTTGTCCAGACAAAAGTAGAATAGGCAGGGCTCCCGAAATTTGAGAACTAGTTGCTATAATGAAGAAATATTCGTATTAGGGATGGGCATGATTAATCGATGAATCGATAATTGATCATTAAGAATTTCATCGATTACGTTCATTTTAATCGACAAACCGAATGTAGGTTGCTGTGTGTAGTGTGACCAAACAGGTGTGTACATGTGTCTCTGCATCAGAAGGAGCGAGACACAAACAGTGGGTCAGTCTGCAACGTACTGAAGCACAAATGTGTATTTAACGATGACTTGTACAAGAAATTCCAGACTTTCCGTTGCGTTCAGGACAAGTGTGAGTCCATGTGCACAGTGTATAAAGCAGCACATATGTTTCTGTGTCCAGTGGGAAAAAGTTTTACCAGGTGAGAGTCGCGCAATGTGGATGACGAGTCCCCACCTCCCTCCCCCCGTACGGTGTCCTGGTTTTGACAAACGCAAATCTGGTCACACTAACCTGTATTCACCTGAGTCATGTCTTTTAATCCAACAGAAATTGACCGCATCAGCGACACAAGAGCTGTAGTTTTATCTTCACTTAGTTTATGCAAATTAGCGATGTGGTTTTAAGTTTTGTTTCTGTGAGAGTTGAACAAAACTGAATTAAACACATTATAATGTCAAACAGCTGATGTGGCTCTAGAGTCGTTACGGTTTATATGTTGTAAACTTGAATTTATTTATTCAGATTAGTAATGCAGATAGTAATAATAATGATGATCATTTTAATATAAAAACGTTAATGATTAATCGATAATCGATCGTTAATTCTTCCGACGATCGATTAAGAAAATTTCATCGAATGCCCATCCCTAATTCGTATGTGAAAAACATTGAGCTCAAAATTGACCTTTGACCTTTATTTGTCAGTTCCTGTTCTCTGCGTTTGTATCATGAGCCAAAAATTTGTTTTCGTGCAAAGATAAAAGGCAGAAACTTAATAGTTATCATTATGTGCTTGATTTTCTCCAGACTTCCATCCATTATAAGAAAAACACCTCACCAAGCTCCAGTCATCATGTGTTTATCTGAAATGATACAGAAGAGTTTTGGATTTCCTATTTAGTGTTGATCGGGATCGTGCAGCGACACTTCCACAGTGAAACAGTTTGACACAAGTGACTTTTACCTTATAGTGTGTACAGTATGAATAAATACACACAGTACTTTCACTTTAAAGATCACTAAAGTATAACTGAATACAAAGGTTTATTTATTGAATGTGTAAAGACCTTGTGCCAAAAAGGAGGAGGCGACAGGTTGGATTTGAAAATAAAATATATTTATGAACTAAATCACAAACAAAACATACACTATTAATGTGTTTTGCCTTTGCACGAAAACTTGTGATACAAAGGCAGAGAACAGGAACTGACAAATAAGGGTCAAAGGTCAATTCTGAGCTCACGATATTTATTCACATGATAAATACAAACAAAATGATATTAAACAGACTACAAAACAGTTTTTATCCAACAGCCATTATTTCACTAAATGGTGCTGTTAAAGCATATTTTTGGGTTGTTTTATTTTTTACTTTGTACATGTACAAATGTGGATGTGTGTGGCTGGGATATGTGTGGGCGTGTGACAGGGCTGGGTATCATTAACACCACCTCGATACATAGGCCACAATACGATACATATCTGGATACAATGCACTTTTGATACGATATAACATGTTTCAAATCAATTCGATACAGTTCAATTTTTTTAATATTACGGCTAAATGATGGCTGTGATACTAAAAGTCTTTGTTAAACCACTTCTTGTGCAAAGTCAATATGAAACACAAACACTTTAAATCATCAAAACAGTGAAAATGTCAAATGTGTTGCATAAATGAGTTTCCTTCCTCTGAACAAGCAACAAAATTGTAGCTGTAACAAAAAGGAGGTTCAGGAATGGATGCAGTCGAACTTTCTCAGTTTTAATAAGCAGAAGACAGAAATAATTGTTTTTTTCATTCTGGTCTCTTGATAAACTGTGACAGATTTTCTCTTAGCTCCTATGAAAAAGTATTTACTAGAAACCTTGGTGTCATTTTTGATTACAATTTTAAATTTGAAAAGCAAGTGAGCTCTGTTAAGCTCTGTTGTTCTTAAATCAAGTTTTTATCAGTTAAGGATTTTAAGTCAAATGAAATCAAACATCCCACGCTTGCACTTTGAAAAGGCCATTCATGCATTTGTGACCTCGCGGCTTGACTACTGGAACTGTTTGTCTGCTGCATTGACCAGGTCCAGCTCAGTCTCCTTTTCACTGGAAAGAAGAGGAGGAACCACATCACTCCTGTTCTTAAATCCTTGCCCCCTGTACATTTTAGAATCCATTTTAAAATTTTAATGATTGTTTTTAAGAGTCTTAATGGCACATTCCTATTTATTTGAACTCTGTCCCATCCAGAGGTCTGTGTTCTGCAGACCAGCACCTCCTACTGTCCCCAGGACCAGAGTGAGGACCAGAGGAGATGGGACCTTCTCTGTGGAACACTTTACCTTTGCACATATGTGTATATATATATATATATATATATATATATATATATATATATATATATATATATATATATATATATATATATATATATATATATATATATATATATATATATATATATATATATATATATATATGTATGTCTAACTATCTATATAGATAGATAGATAAATAGATAGATATAGATATATTATTGTCGTTGATTTGCCAATTGTAAGTTTTATTTCACTGTTCAGTACTTTGGTGAGCTTTGGCTGTTTTAAATGTGCTATACAAATGAATTTGATTTGATTTGAAAATAACTGAGTAAAATATATCAAAAAATACTCTTGGTGATGTCAGTACAGCAGTCCACGATATCAGTACTGTATCATCACATTAAACTTTAAGATATATCAATATTTCAATACTTTTGCACACTTCTAGTGTGTGAGGTTTTTATGTATTCTTTTTAGAGACTCTTACCTTTTGATCTTTTATTATTTATTTGTTGCTGCCTTTGCACTGAACGAGGACTGCACTTCATTTTATTGTATTTGTTACAATGACAATAAAGATATTCTGTTCTATATTCTATAACTCATTTTTGACCAAACATGATGTTTCTGTCTTTGTAGGGCAGTATTGTGATACTGATATTTTGACTCTATATTCTGCAGCCTGATGTAGAGCATAAGCTTTGAACAGAAGAGGACTGACTACGATTTAACAAACTCATGATTCACTTTTTATTTTCATATCACCCTCCTCTAATTGACACTACCCAAAATAACAACTTCACGACTGAAAGTACCACAAAAGCAACACACTCACTGCTTATTCACGCTTCCACCCCACACACATTCCTCTGCGTGCTGTTCGGCATTCTTTCCCACAGGACTCACCAAAAAGCTGCCGGTGGAATATGAACTTCCCGGCGAGCAGTCCGGTGATGATGGCGGCGATCCAGCACACCACCTTGAGAATGTTCCAGCCCAGGCCCGGGTACTTGTTGAAGAGGAAGGAGAAGCAGTTGCCCACGACGATCATGTGAGCTTCGGTCTGGCTGTGGGACACCGGGTCCTCGGCGAAGATCAGGAAGTTGAAGAAGGTGACGAGGTAGGCCACGATGAGGCGCGACCACGGGTGCTGGAAGTAATATCGAAAACATGCATCTATATCCATCCTGCAGGCGCCCCTCCACCACAACCACGCTACACCTGGAACAGACCGACAGAGAGGGAGAGACAGAGAGGAGAGAGAGGGAGAGGAGGGAGAGAGAGGGAGGGAAAGAGGGGCAAAAGAAGGAGAGAGAATGAGAGGCAGAGACGTAGACATAGGGAGGACGAGAGGAGAGAGAAAGACGGGAGAGTGAGGTGGGAAAAGAGACACGGAGACAAAGTAGAAGTGGAGACGGGGTGGGAGAAAAGTGGAGATGGGTGGTGGGTGAGAGAAAAAGAGGGGTAGAGAAGAATGGAGAGGATGACACAGAGATTAAGAGAGAGGGAAGGAAGGAGAGAGGGGGGATGGAAAGGGAGAAAGAGTAGGAGCAGTGGAAGGGAGATTGCGAGTAAGATGGGAGAGGAGGAGAGCAAAAGATAGAGTGAAGGAAAAGAGAAAGGGGGGAAAAGGAGGAGAGAGAGAAAGATGAGAAGGAGAGAGATAAAAAGAGGGAGGGAGAGAGAGGGAGAATAAGATAAGTAAGGATCAGCAGAAGACATGAAACAGACACCAGAGATCAAACTGGTGATGGAGATAACCTTGAGTTATTGGAACACTAATGACATTTAAAGGTTCTATACGACACTAAACTGACTCTTGTGAACTTTAAATCAATGTTGGAAGCGAATCAAAAACACACCTGGAGTTGTGTTTTTATTTCATTCACATGTTTGAGTAACTCTGCATTATTAGTCTGTTTGCAGAACTCTAACTTAACCCTCACCCATCGCTTTTCAGACGTGACACTTTATGCACACACTGTTGGACCAGATTCTACAATCTAAAGTGGATAATAAAAAAAAATTCGGACACTGATTGCCTTGAAAAATCTGACTAAAGCGGAGTGTGAATCTAAAGCTGATCTTAAAAGTAATTTCTCAGTGTGGTGTTCGGTAAATTCCTCTTTCATCTAATAACTATGCACAGAAAGTGAAGTGAACTTTAGTTTTCTTTAGTAAAAATCATGTTGTGAAACTGAGCCACTGACAGTGTTGGGGAGTAACAGATTACATGTACCGGAGTTAAGTAATCAGAGTACAAATTATGAGTAACTGTATTCAGTTACAGTTACTGTTTCAGTGAGTTGTAATTGTATTACAGTTACTTTGTTGAAATAAATGGATTACACAGAGGGATTTTCCTGTTTTCACATTTTGGACTAAATCCCTTTTTTTTTTCTTTTTTTTTTTGGTAATTCCATTCTCATTGCTGGACACTAAACCAGATCTAAACCAGGACTAAACTAGATCTAAACCAGGTCTAAACCAAGTCTAAACTAGATCTAAACCAGGTCTAAACCAGGTCTAAACCAGGTCTAAACAGGTAAACAGGTCTAAACCAGGTCTAAAAGGTAAACCAGGTCTAAACCAGGTCTAAAACCAGGACTAAACCAGGACTAAACCAGGACTAAACCAGGTCTAAACCAGGTCTAAAACCAGGTCTAAACCAGGACTAAACCAGGACTAAACCAGGACTAAACCAGGTCTAAACCAGGTCTAAACCAGGTCTAAACCAGGTCTAAACCAGGTCTAAACCAGGTCTAAACCAGGACTAAACCAGATCTAAACTATGTCTCAAACAGGATTTAACAAGACTAAACTTCTTCTATCAATACTATTTTTTATTTAGTTAAATAAAGTCTGGATTTTTTATTTTCTTTTAACAGACAAAAAATCTTATGTTGTCTTTGCTTCTCTACAGTAAACCAAGTAATCCAAAGTATTCAGATTACGTTACTCACTTTAAGTAATTTAATGGATTCCGTTACAAACTACATTTTGGGGTATGTAATCTGTAATCTGTAGGGGAATACTTTTGAAAAGTCACCTTCCCAACACTGGCCACTGAATCAGTCAGTACCTCAAATCTGAAATATGTAGTAACTTTTACTTTAAGAATAGGTCAACGTTATTAGGTAAAACCACGGAAACTGATGTAAACAAATTTGTAGCTGCGAATAAAGTGAAGTAGCTGAATGCAAGTTAATCCTAGTGTTAGATTTTACAGTGTATTTATCTATATTTATCTACATCTCCAAAGCTCAAAATGCTCTGTCCCACCTTGTGATGTCATGTAGTGGTAGTTTTTAAGTTAACAGCTCCTTTTACCTTTAGTTTAGTGGAGTTTGGCGGCTAAAATCAGCTAAATGATTGTAGTGAAGCTGTCTGGAGCACATTTCTGGAGCACATTTTTAGATAATACATCCTCCACCAGGCCTATTGTAATCCAGCTCTGCAGTGAAAGAGCAGGGGCCGGGAGAGAGCCTTTAGTGACGGAGGATTGTGCAGGATCAGCAGGTCACACAGATTACAAGTATCACACAGGCTGTGGACATTTAGGGAGGAAGCTTTATTCAGATCAGTGTGAGTTCAGATCAAATGTGGGAGAACAATGAGATGTCCCATAATCCTGTTACTCCAGTGTGTGCTGATAAAACACACACACACACACTACGGCCTGCTGCTTTGTGCTTTTCAACAGGTCTGTTCAGCTACGAAGGACTGGACAAATATAATATAAAATACAATACAACATGTACTTTTGGACAAATATACAATACAACCAGTGTTGGGAAGGTGACTTTTAAAATGTATTCCCCTACAGATTACAGATTACATCCCCCACAATGTAGTTTGTAACGTAATCCATTAAATTACTTAAAGTGAGTAACGTAATCTGAATACTTTGGATTACTTGATATTGTTATGCTTTTTAAAACTACATGAATGTACCAACCACATCCTGAAAATTCTTGTTTGTTCTCTTCAAATTGTCTGTTGAGCCCAAGTCTCCATGAACAGACTTTTGTTTTACTGTAGAGAAACAAAGACGAGGATCTGAACAAAAGATATTTTGTTTTATCTGATAAAAGAAAATAAAAAGCCCAGACTTTACTTAAACATATTAAAAATATTATTGATAGAGAAATGATTTTTATATGAGATCACTGCTGCCTGAAATTATATTCACCTACTGTTAGTGTCATATTGTTTAGACCTGGTTTAGACCTGGTTTAGTCTTGGTTTAGTTCTGGTTTAGTCCTGGTTTAGTCCTGCTATTAGACTTGGTTTAGACCTGGTTTAGTCCTGTTTTAGTCCTGGTTTAGTCCTGCTTTTAGACTTGGTTTAGACCTGTTTTAATACTGGTTTAGTCCTGGTTTAGTCCTGGTTTAGTCCTGGTTTAGTCCTGGTTTTAGTCCTGGTTTAGTCCTGGTTTTAGTCCTGGTTTAGCCCAAAATATGAAAACAGGAAAATACCACCCTGTAATCCATTTATTTCAACAAAGTAACTGTAATCCAATTACCATTCACTGGAACAGTAACTGTAACTGAATACAGTTACTCATAATTTGTACTCTGATTATGTAACTCTGGTACATGTAATCTGTTACTCCCCAACACTGAATACAACTCACCTCTTGTCCCTGGCATTGAGTACGAGCTAGTCACGTTATCTTGGTGTGTTTATTGTAGTTTTCATTAGTTTTCTGTATATATGTATTTGTAACTGTTTCTTCTATTTTGTTGACTTATATGTGAAGCACTTTGGTCAGCTGAAGTTGTTTTAAATGTGTTATATAAATAAAATTGAACTGAATAGAACAACGTGTACATTTGTACAAATATAAGATACATGTACATTTGAAACAAGCACAGTGTTTACATACTTTTATCAGCAATAGATTCTAAGTATCACTGAGAAGTTGGAGATACGATACACACCTTCATACATCGGTCACAATACAATACATATCTCGATACAGTGAGCTTTTTGATTTGATACGATATATTTAAAATGAATTCAAAACAGTCCAATAAAATAATGGCAAAATTGTGGCTGTGATACTAAAAGTCTTTGTTAAATCACTTCTTGTCCAAAGTTCATATGAAACACAAACATTTTAAAACAGTGAAAATGTCAAATGTGTCACATAAACAAGTTTCCTTCCACTGAACAAACAACAAAACTGTAGCACTGTAACAAAATAATTTTGTAGAATACACCAAAAAACACTCGATATATATCGATATAGCAGCCTACGATATCGATACTGTAGTGGCCACAGCGGCTTGTCAAAGTCTGATCCCGTCAGATCTCAGAAGCTCAGCAGGTCCGGGCCTGGTCAGTATTTGGATGGGAGACACTGGGAATTCCAGAAGCCACAGGGGGCGCCAGTGGCAAAAACTCTCATTGTGTCCTTAGGCAAGACACTTCACCCACATTGCCTAGTATGAAAGTTGTGTGTGTGTGAGTGATGGTGGTGGTCAGAGGGGCCAAAGGTGCAGATTGGCAGCCTCGCTTCTGTCCGTCTGCCCCAAAGCAGACTGAATAATGAACTGTAAAGTGCTTTGGGTGTATTGAAAGGTGCTATATAAATGCAATGATTAATTAATTAATGTATCAGCACATTAAACAATACGATATTTAGATATTTCAATATTTTTGCACATACCTAGTCATAACATGTACTATAATACATATACTATAATAATATTTGAATGATTTTGATGTTAGAAAATGTGCTCAAAACAGAATGCCAGAACTTAAAAACATGAGGGACAAAAGAAAGAATTGCAATTGTTGTTTTGAAGATGTAAATTAGTTTATCAAGTTCTAAAGGTCTAGTTATGACTAGAACAGAGACGTGCAGAGTATACAGGAGCAGAGCAGGAGGGATCACTGTAGCCCGGGATTCAGACAGGTTTATTCTAGCACAGAGTGTGAGTGTGTTCCCTGCCTCCCCCTCACGGCAAACTCACACAGAGCTGTTCATTTCAGTGACACGTGGAACTGGAGCAGCTCATTGGTCAAATCACACGCCTCTCACCTCACACTCACTCTGGAAACTCACTCTGCACAGCTTCTTTCTCTTTCTTTTTTTGTTATAAGCAGCCACTTTTGTTTTGATACAGATGGAGCACGTGTGTCCCTGATTGGATTATCCACCTGTCAATCAAGGCTCGATTCTTGGGCCCAGATGATTTCAATTATACAGGAAC